TTACTACAATAAAAGAGATCATTTTTAGGTGATAAAAGTCATATCTGATTGCCATATTGAATCTCTACACCTTCTCACCACATTCTAACACTCTCCTCTATTCTCATAATAGGTGCATCTTTCATTTTTTAATCATAAATATCCTTTTCCCTCCTTTTGACTTTTCTTTAAGGTCCTTTCGAAACTTCCTCCTCACTAAATAATTATTTTTGTATGTAAATGATCTTTTAAATACATCTATGGATTATGTCTTTGTAATTTGCCGAGTATTATTATCATCAATCTGTATTGTATTCATAAAGCTTCCCTCTTTTTCTCCTTAATATTCCAAGTATGTTATTTCAATTTATAGTATCTTTCTTCCAAGTACTTCCCATTTGGTAGATCTTCTTTCAGAATTATTCAGCCGATTTCAAATATCTAAGTGTTCTGAATTCAATCATTTTTTCCTTTCTATCCACCACTTTTCCTATTGCTTCAAAAATTATTTCTGATACCTTTGTATATAAAATTATTATTGATATTATTTACATTGCATTGAAATTTTTATTTTAAAACTTCATTTTAATCCATTTTGAGTGACTCGACCTAGAATCTCATCATAAAGATTCATTTCTCTTCTCAATTTCATATTCAGGTTAGCTCCAATCATACTGGGTTGTATCTTCAAGTTTTCCAAAAGATCCCAATTATCATTTTTATTCACACTTGATGGCTACTTCTGTTAAAATGCAATTCTCAGTTTCCATATTCTCTCTCCTAGCGCACATAATCTATCTATTAAATCAAATCTCAATTATTTTCCATTTCTCTCCTTACAAAAACATAAATATCCAAGTTCATAACTATCATCTCTCATCTCTCATTTCCGTATTCCCAATTCCCAATTCCATTCCTAAATTAACCATATATGGGCTTTAACTTTTAAAATACTTTTCTCATTTTGAAAATCCTTTGGTTTCGTAAGTTCCAACTACAAGTTAACAATTCGACATCCCAGAGATTCCGGTCTCAGCAGGGTCTTCAGGCTATTTCAGAATATTTTGAATTTAACACTCTTCTTCTTGCCTTATTTTCAAACTTTCTGGTTATCATAACCTTACCCTTCGTTCTCTCTGCCTAATTCCACCCTCAAAGGGTTACCGAGATCTAATTTAGGGACATGGTTTTCCGGGATTACCCTTAGAAACACAAAATTTGAAAATATTTTAATTTTATTTTTTTTAATTATTTTGTTAAGAAAGCATCATTCACAACATGCTCTACACGTTTTAAATGATGCTCTACATTGGTGAAAACTATTCTGATACATTTACACAAGTAAATTATCAATTGTATAATAGAAAAAAAACGTCTAAAATTTAATGTTCATTATATATAATTATTTATCGAACAATTAAAACATGAAGTTTCGAGGTTAAGACACATAAGAATATAAAATGATTGGGAGAGAGTAAGGTTCATCAGTGCTTGTTAAATTTTGAATGCCCAAAACCCTAATAGATTTAGCATGAAAACCTAGTGCTTTTCATAAAGAATTAGATAATCAGATTTTAAGTTCTACATAATGAATATAAAGTTTAAACAAGTCTTTGATACTGGGTTTTGTAAGATTGGAAACAGAAAAATCAATAATTTGAAAATTGGGGAAAAAAAAGAATTAACAAATTTTGGACAAACAAATTTATTTGAGTTTACAAAATTTTTGTTTTTATCCAAAATAGTTTTATTTGTGAATTCAAAACTCTAATAATTAAATGTAAGAACGTTAATTTGCAAATGTAATTGCTGATTTATTCTTTAAAGGTTTATTTATTTTTGAAAAAATGTAATTGGAATAATTTGAATGTCATACCAATTGTTCATTAGTTAAAAATAGATAAAATAGTTCATTCTTGTTATTAAAATGCCCTTTATACCTATTAATTGAGTAATGAAAAGTGATCATCACATTATCAAAGGAGTATGTGAAAAACAATATATTCAAAAATTTTCCTTGAGATCTAACTTTTGAAATGATTTGTTATAAGTAGGAATCACAATACAATACAATCAGGGTCAAGTCCAAATAAAGTTGAGATTCCCATTGATTTAATCATTGAAATCTTTTCAGCACTTATAACTCAAGGTTCTGAATGGCATCAAATGTAGAATAGGCACATAGTACCTTATACCCCTGAACCATGTTTTAAGCACTTTTACGGTCTTTTATTAGCAATAACTAGTTAGCTAATATATAGCTCGTTTACTAAAAATTGAAATATTATTTCCATTTGATTTAAAATTATAATTTTCATATATTTAAAATCGAAGTGCATTTAAATGACCAGAAAAAATTGAATAATTTTATCAATCATATGTTAAATTTTCATGTTTCAGGATCACATGCTTAGTTTCAACTTATAGTTATATTATTAAGTGAGTTTACTCTTTAAGTTAAAATAGAGCATTTCAATAAAGCCATTCTATTTGCTCAATTAATTTATTGGCTTATCAAACTTCTTTTCTAATCATCTAATTATCTACTTTGTACTTTTAGTTAAAGGAAATTGGGATATAGTGTAAGTTTTCATTCACCAGTATCTGTTGTTAACTGAATATCCTATAAAATAGCATCAGAATTTTCAATTTATTTTATAATTGTAGTTTAAAAATCATAATTCAGACAGTGATATCGATAAGGCCTGGTGCATTCTGAATTGAATCATTCCTGATCCAGAAGCCGACACACGCAATGAATTAAAATAAATAAACATAATTATAGTGATTTAAAACTCAAAACTACTAGAGAAATCCAAAGATTGAAGATATTTTATGTCAATCAGTTTTAGAACATATAAATTCGCCAACATATCTATTGAGAGAAAATTTAACAAATAATTAGAAACTATTATATTTATTACATATTTAAGATAATTTTAAATGGTGAGACATTTAACAGTCAAAATATTTATTCTGTCATTTCAAAAGGACCTTATAATAGTTACTATAATTATCTAAGTGTACAGAGAATCACTTTTAAATTAAAGTGATCTCTGGTAATCAACCAAACATTTTTTCAATCATTCTCCTAAAGATACTTATTATGTTTAAGTAAAGCAAAATAAATTGAAATATTCTAATTCCAATTTCCTTGAATTAATATTTGAAACACATTCTTTTGTAAGTTTCGTATCAAATGATTGATTGAGACAAAAAGTACAATTTATTAAAAGTATATACTAAAGATTTGAATCAAGGTTAATTTTAAATTAATGGGCATGCAATTAGGAGTTTAAAAATACATTAATTTAAAAGATAATATCAAATTTATATTTTAACACATCTTATTTTAAATTAAGTTCTCCCTATCTTGGATAATATGAAATTAATAAATAAAATTGATATTGTTTAGATAGATGAAAGAAGTTCATAATAATAAAATATCGCATAGTAGAATACACATAAATCGAAGAAGCAACAAAATATAATATTCTTAATATTTTGTATGGTTACATTGAAGAAGTTATCTTTTTTATAGAAATATGAGCATTATTGTTATATTTCTGTTCTGAAATCTATTTATGTATTCTAATTTAATTTCTCGATGATAGTAATTGAACAAACTAAATTATATTAATTTCAAATCATTTTATTCTGACATCATCTACAGATTTATAAAATATTTAATAGCTGCTATTTTAGAAATGAATAAAAAAAGGAGAAATAAAATACATTAGTACTTAAAAAGGAATTTTAATATTGTATTTTATTATTTATGATATGTTTCATTGTGTTTGTATGGCTTCTAAACATTCATCTAATGTTAAGAAATACAATACTTTTTCTTTTTTTAGTCCATTTATGATTAGAATCAATTTCTAAAGCTTTATCATAAAATATTAAAGCCTATAAATATTATTTCTGATCATGTAAGCATTAACCTATTAATTATATCATAATATTACCTTTTATCCTTAATGAATTAAAATGATTTGGATTAATTATTAGAGATTATTCAATCACTTCCATAGCTTCCTTAAATTTTTTCAATTATCTTAAAGAGTTACCTTTAATTTAAAAAGTTATTCATACCTTTAATAAATAATGAATTACAACACTTTGGATCTACTTACAAAGCTTTATCAGCCCAAATATAGCTTCATTATATTAACCAAGCTTCCTTAAACTCTCAGCTAATACATTCAAATTTAATCATACCTTTAGTAAATAATGATCTACGATGCTTTGGATCTGCTTACAAAGCTTTATCAGCCCAAATGATAGCTTCATTATATTAACCAAGATTTCTTAAACTCTCAGCTAATACATTCAAATTTAATTATACCTTTAGTAAATAATGATAATTAATGTTTTGGATTAAAATTCAATGCTTAATCAAATATTTTAATAGCCTCATCATATTTGTCATCATTCCAATATAACTTATATCCTAAATCATTAATTTAATTACCTATTTTATACAATTCTTCTGATTTTTCTATATATGGTTTAGATATTTGATAGTAATCTAATGCAAATAAATTTAAATCATTCTGTAATTTCTTTATTTAATCTTAAAATTCCTTTATGAATTGTTATAACAANTATTGGCAAGTAAATCCAGAAAGAAATATTGTATATTCTTAGCGGTATCAACTAAAAAATTAGAATTCAATATATATAATAATAAGTTAAAACAATTATTAGTTGTGTAACATGCTTTTGATCCATCTATATAATATAATTTTTATTCTCTTACCTTAGGTTGCAAATGTGGCTTGACTTTTAATTGTTCTTATTAAGTATGTAAGGTATAGGAAATCATAATATCTATTTCATGAAAATGTTTAAGATATTGTGTGTAAAGTTGTTCTGATATGCTCTATGGTTAAATAAATAGAATTGTGATGTAGGTGTCTCAAGAGAAATTGAATATACTTACTTTTAGTTTCGAGCTGGCTCACTTACATCTATTAATTAATTATTTTTTTTCAATTGAAATACATCTGGTAAGTTCTCAAAACGATACTTATCCTCAAAAAGATTTTATGAAAACATAACAATTATAATCTTAAATCTAATATAACAAATTTCTTTGTCAAATTATTTTTATTCCTGATTAATAATAATATGTTGACAAAAGATTTTGACTTGGCCATAATTGCATCCTCTAAAATTAAGAAAAAAATTTGAGCTCAAGCAAGTTTACATCAAATATAATTTAATTTTTTAGCTGATCATTTCATTACTATTTCCTTAGCATTTCTTGATTTTTTCTGCCCTCCTTAAAAAGTGAAATAGAATCTTTTCTTCTATAAAAATTATGCAGCAAAGCTGTTTAAGGTTGGATCTTTCATGATATTCTTGTCTATAATAAGTAGACACAATTTCAAGCATCCCGCTATTTGTAGTGCAACTTATTTTCTTTGGAATCTAATTTCATTATTAGTAACAAAAAGAGTTGAATAATATTAGAAAGGATATCACTGTATTATTTCCTTATTGTCCCTGGTCCTTATATTAATTTTGGTTTAGCAAAAAGGTTGTTTAAATATGTTTTAATATTTTTTAAAGTTAATTAAGAATATAATAATAAAAGCAATATTGGATATTGCTTATGAGTAATGACATTAAAGAATTAAACGTATTCAATTAAAATATTGTATTTTATTATTTATGATATGTTTCATTGTGTTTGTATGGCTTCTAAACATTCATCTAATGTTAAGAAATACAATACTTTTTCTTTTTTTAGTCCATTTATGATTAGAATCAATTTCTAAAGCTTTATCATAAAATATTAAAGCCTATAAATATTATTTCTGATCATGTAAGCATTAACCTATTAATTATATCATAATATTACCTTTTATCCTTAATGAATTAAAATGATTTGGATTAATTATTAGAGATTATTCAATCACTTCCATAGCTTCCTTAAATTTTTTCAATTATCTTAAAGAGTTACCTTTAATTTAAAAAGTTATTCATACCTTTAATAAATAATGAATTACAACACTTTGGATCTACTTACAAAGCTTTATCAGCCCAAATATAGCTTCATTATATTAACCAAGCTTCCTTAAACTCTCAGCTAATACATTCAAATTTAATCATACCTTTAGTAAATAATGATCTACGATGCTTTGGATCTGCTTACAAAGCTTTATCAGCCCAAATGATAGCTTCATTATATTAACCAAGATTTCTTAAACTCTCAGCTAATACATTCAAATTTAATTATACCTTTAGTAAATAATGATAATTAATGTTTTGGATTAAAATTCAATGCTTAATCAAATATTTTAATAGCCTCATCATATTTGTCATCATTCCAATATAACTTATATCCTAAATCATTAATTTAATTACCTATTTTATACAATTCTTCTGATTTTTCTATATATGGTTTAGATATTTGATAGTAATCTAATGCAAATAAATTTAAATCATTCTGTAATTTCTTTATTTAATCTTAAAATTCCTTTATGAATTGTTATAACAAATTTTCAATAATTAATTAAAATTATTTGAAATGTATACTTTATGTTAAGAAAGAATTAATTTATTGAGAATTTAAATTGGGTAATTACTTAGATATCTGATATTTAGTTCTAATTCCTCCAATTAATAAAAAGAAATCATTTTAAATTAAATCCATTTATTTATTGATTGTATTTATTAAATCATCAGATTCTTTTTCAATTGTTGAAATATGTTCAAATAAAGATGGTAACTCTTCCTAATGTTAAAGATGAGTAATATGCATTCCAATTTTAATACATTCATGACAATATAATCTCTATTCTTTACAAGATTCATCAAAACATACTTATTTAACATTCTTAGTATGTTCTGGATTAGGACATTTCACAATTATATCTTCACCTTAATTCATAATTAATATTATTATATTATCTATTCCAATTTCTATTAAAAAATATTAATAATAATAATTCATATTATTTTTATATCCAATTTGAATTTCAAACAATTTCAACACTAATCTTTACAAATCCTATAATTACAAACTATACACAATTAAATACTATCTTTTGCAATCTGCTCATTATTCCCATTCAAACCCAAAAGTATTATTATGTTTGATCAATCAAATAATTATAATCTCATTAAAACTATAATTCAAATCATATTAGTTTATTCCCAAATTATAATTTAAGAATCAAATTTTCGAATTTTATTTCTTCTTACGTTTGCAGAATCCTTAGTTAATTTTAAATTATTATTTATGATTATAAGCATATATATTCAATTAGGATGATCTGTATTATTTATATTTTCCAATAAACTTAATTTATCAGAAGCATTATTAATTATGTCTGTTATTTTCAATTTCATATCCTATAATTATAGATGTTGAGGGTAAGCTGTTATAAAGATAAGGTAAAAGTAGGAAATTGATTCTAATTATTCAACTTTCTTTAGAATATAGTTTGAATTAGGATCTAATTGGTTATATTTCATTAGATTTTTACTTATTGGAGCTGATTCTTAATTAAGACTTTCCATAAACTAATCCTATTTTCAATGTATAGAAATGTAATATTCTTTATATCTAGTTTATATGAAAAACTATTTAATATTAAAATCTCTAACTAAGATTAATTTTATAAATATTTACAAAGTAAATTAGATATTCCTAAAACTTTGAATTATCCAATTGTATATTCATATACATATGTCACTTAATACTGACGATTATTGGAAATCTTTAAATTAACTACTCTAACTGAGAAAATTACATTTTACATCTCTCTCATTCTAATTATAATAAAATCTGCACTTCATAACAGGCAAGAAAATAATAAAATGTTAAGCAGAACATAAAAATAGTCTCATTTAATATGAGCCTTATTTAGATTTCAATTTTTAATTAATATATTAAAAACAAAAACTGTAATTTAGATATCTAGTAAATAAGATACTTTATGACAATAACAACTTGTATTAAATAGAGATTCACAAAGAAGAATAAGTGGATTTAGGGAATTTGTAAATCTCCATCATTAAAGAGAGAGAGTTAATATCTCACTATTTATCTTATGTTACTTATTAGATAAATTATAATTAATAATTTTGCAAGTCACTAGTTATAATTCTACTTTACCATCATTAATCAAATCCAAATGAAGAATTTAATTAATATAATAATGATTAAAATTTTGTTTCCACACAGCAATTATAAACTCTGGGTTTAATGAAAAGCGATTATGTACCATTATTAATTTGTCTTAGAACTTGACATTAATAGCCAATCTTTATAATTAACATGCTAGCTAATTGAGAGATTTTTATATATGCAATATTCTAATTGATCATATGTTAAGGAAGAACAATTTAATTAACCTCATGATAACTACAACTTGTAAACATCAAATAGTAATATAAGATGAATAAAGTAAGAAAGTTAAATCTGATTATGCAAATCAGATGCTTTTCACTTAAGCCTTAAAGATGGTATAAATTATCTAGATCAAAAAACAATTTTGATTATTACATTTACTCATATGTGAAAGAATTATTTTTGGCTTCCTAAGGGTCAAGATTTAATAATATTTTAAAGTGGCATGTAGTGTTCTTGAATACTAATTTACAACTCGTTCAGCATTTCTTTAATATCAAGGAAAAAGTTAGAGTAAAGTCTATTCAAACTGCTTATATTACAATTAAATTATAAACGATTGCCTTATTTATTATTAAGAATAGATTAATATCTTTAGGTCTTAAGTGAATTGATACCAAACGTAGCACAATATATGACTTGAAAGATTTAAATCAAAAAGAAAATAAGAAAGATTTAGAAAGCATGAGGAGATAAGACCATATAATAGAACTATTATTCATTAAACTTGTTCATAGATGATTAATTTTTCTTTTTTTTTGAAAGAAGTTTCATTGATTGAAGACACTAGAATTGAGATATATAGACTAATAAGCGTTTAATGGCCAAGGCACATGAGTTGATGAAGTGGATTGCAGAATTTAATATAAACTCGAATAATAGGTACATGCATATGATAAAATTAATTTAATTTACTAAATTTATCTATTTGATTTAAAATGACTTCATTTTCAGGAAATTGGTATTGGGACGTTATTTTAATCGATTGAAATTATTATGACTTCATAATGTTTTTATAGACAATAAAGATGATGTCAATAATTGTTATAAATAAAAATTTATGAAGCAGATTAAAAAAATAATCAGAATTATTAGTAATCTAACCAAAACAATTGAATTTTAATTATTATTTTTAAAGTATAAATGCCTGAAGATGATTGCAAAAAAAGTCATTTAAATGATAATTTGAAATTCACTACTTCCAGTCCTAGAATTTTTTGCTTTTAAATACATTTTCCAAATCACTCAAAACTGATAGAAATTTAGACCGATGCCAATTTTATGTATAACTTAAATGAAATTTTACAGGTTTGCTATGTACTTCTCTAATTCATTTAGAATAGTTAGCATTGGCAGTATTGCTATTCCAAGAGAAATTAATCGAAGTACATTAAGAGACCATTTGTAATTTAAAATCTAAGATACTTTTTTCTAATTTAAGGATTCTAAAACAATGAATAAGAATATGATTTATCTGTGAAAAGACAACATTTTCAAAATATCTAATACCTTCCAAATGAGCTATTTTCTGAACTGATTATAAATATTGTAGTCTTCTTAAGAAATTCATTAAGAAGAGACTTATTTTTCAAAAAATGCTATATCATCTCACTACAATTCATTGATATTAATTAAATTTTCAAATAGTTTTCAGGTAAGATAATTGAACACCAAAGTTCTATTAAGGCTGTAATAATTTGATCCATTTCAAAAAAGATCTACATGAAATTTTGGATTTATTTAGTATTTATACTAATGGAAAATTACTTATTTCCAAGAAAGTGAATATTAAATAGATATAATGTAACTTTTATTCTATTCCTATGTTACTCACTTATTATTAAATTAAAAAAGGATCCATGATGATCCCTCATCAATCAAAATCACATAAAATCGTTATTAATATTCTTAATACTGAGTTACTAGT